GCATTTCAGTAGATCTGCCTGTTCTGCTTCCTATTCTGTCTCTTGTGAATCCTCTCATCCCCCACACCTCTAGCCTACACCCCAGTTCTTGTATGCATAAATAAATAATAACAAATCTTTAAAAAAAGAAAGAAAGAAATTCTGGCCCCTCTCCATGAAAGGCTTACAATCTAGACGAAGAGACAGTGAGTGAGGCTGTACTATGCTGTGGAAAGGGTTTGGCAGTTATTAGACAAACCTGGTCTTGACCCCAACTCCACGTTGTAGCCCCCACATCTTGGGATACATTAATCCTGAAATTCAAATTTGTCTGTTAAATGTAATATGATATCTACCTTTCTTGGTTACTGTCAGGGTTCTATAAATAATATGTGTACTGGAGCTAATAAAATGCTTGGTATAAAATGGGCAGCTAGTAAATATAGGTGCTTTATCTCTTTTCTATTATAGGAAGCACACACAAATGCACAGACTAACAAATTACCATACATATAGAGCTACAGCTCTAAAAAGACACATCATACAGAAATAATTCAGAGATGCCAAGGAGGCTAGAAGTTCTAGATCAATGCCACAGAAATGACCCTCTTGGGACTAGCTCCAGAGAGTTCAGATTCTGTAAATTCTTCATCTGAAACAATGTGGAAATATACCCAGGTCTCTCTTGTGGATTCAAGAAAAGGACATCAGAGTAGAGTTCCTTAATGGTTTCTTCATGGAAGAAAGAACAGGGTTTCCATGTTCCCCACACAAATGGCCGTACAAGCCTGTTCCCTGAATGGGAATGCTTCCTGTTTTAAGGCTTAGAAAATTGTGACATCCTTGAAAAGGTAAGATTCTGCTATCCAAAGTCAATTCCTCTTAAAATCTAGTAGGAACAACTTCTTTCTTGTAGATGGATATGACATTTTTGGTTTTGTTGATTCTGAAATACTTACCCTTGGAAGAAGAGATTTTACAACTCAGTTTGGGACACTCTAAGTGTGAAATTTTTAAAAATATTTCTTTCCAAAATAGTTAAACAATTCTCGGAACTAAGAATCTGAGAGATTTTTTATCAGCATTGAGGTGGCTTACAGTATTCTGAATACTGTGGAGCTCCCAAGTTTTTAACAAGTTGGTTACTATGTAACTACAAAATAGAGGCCTGCTACACAATTCTAGAATTACTTCAGGCTCTCCAGGGAATTTTTTTTCCAACTGAAACTAAAAGTCATCTCACATGGTTACCTATACTACTACTTTAAGCAGGGCCTCCCCTGGTGGTGCAGTGGTTGAACGCTGGGCTGCGAAGCTGCCCACAGCCTCTGCAGCGCCTGTTTGATCCCCGGCCACCGGCGAGGGTCCCACATGGCTTCGCAGACCTCTCCTGCCGCCCGCTGCTCCCCTCAGCAGTGTACTTGGGTCCTTCTGCCTGCTCTGCTCCCCGCTCTGGCTCTGGTAAATTCTCTCACCCTCCCGCGCTTCTGACTGTACCCAGTGCTTGTATAAATAAATAAATAAATCTTTTTAAAAAAAAAAAATATGAAGAATAAGTATCAGATGGAAATTAATTTTTTTTAGTCTCTGAATTTAAGCAAGACTAGTCACTCCTTGTGGTTAACTAGTGGCAACTTACTAAATTTTCACCAACTTTAAAACGAAATGCTTTTTACAAGGATCATGCTTGCTCATGCATATGGGTCAGCAGAGCAGAAAGGACATAGGCAGCAAGCTGTCCTGTCAAATAAGGCAAAGGTGGCTAATCCAATCTGTGAGGTGCAGCCAGTATAAATACAGACTAGATTTTAAAGATACAGGTTGGAAAAAAAGTATATACTGTATATTGATTTTATAATGTAAACACTGAAATAATACTTCGGCTATATTGGGTTAAATAACATATTATTGAAGTGAATTTCATTTCCTCCATTTTTTAAATGTGGTTATTGTTATATTTAAAATCACATTTGCTTGCATTATGTATCCATGGAACAGTGCTGGGTAGGGATGTTCAGCTTAGTTTACACAGTAGCTACTTCAGGATGACCTTCTGTTCCTGGTTCACCGTCTCTCTGCTTTAGGTTTATTCCTGTGTAAGATGTAAAGAGCTAGCCTCCAACATTCTAGGACGCAAGAGTTCAGTAGCTATTGGTCGAGAAGACGCTGATGGCAGTGCTGTAGCTAAGAGGTAGGGCAGCCTTATGCTGGAGGTGGGCTCCAGACAGGAGGCCTGAGAAAAGCTCAGGGTGCCTTTTAAAACCACCAGGAACTTGTTTGAGACTGGAGACAGGGCTGCTCCACTTTTCAGCCCTGTGCCAGTCCAGCAGCTGACAGAGGGTATTAGAGGAAAGCCCTGTTCAGGAGTGGCCTGGCTCAAGGGTTCAGCACATGTGCCATCAATTAGCAGCACATGTGCCACTGGAGCTGCCCACAGCTCCAGTGGCACAGCTGATAGATGGCACGCTGGTGGTGTGGGGCAGAATACATTCTGGCTGCCAGAAGGTTCCAGAAGACTGGCCTCAGCAGTGTCACCTATCCCTGGGATCCCAAGGAGCAGAAAGAAAACAGCTTGATATTCTCAGTTGGTTTGCAACACTCAATCCAAATTATAGCAAACCTGAACTCTGTGACCTATCAGACCCCTAAAAGAAATATTAATACATATATGCATATGTGTGTGTGTTATAACTATCAGTTTTGTACATTATTCTGTTTGTTTTTGTTTTCTGGAACCAGTTAAAATGGAGTCACATATCCCCTCTCACTACCACCCCAGAACTTGGGAGTTTTCACAGTCTGTCCCAAACCACGTTCATGGACCACTTTCCATTATTTGACAGCAGTGTTCAGCAATTCTGCATTTATGGAATGTCTATCATGTGTCATGCATGGGATACAACAGCAAGGGAGAAGAGGGGCCTATCCCTAAGTGACTTCCAAGGGAGTAGGCTGGCATGGAGAATGCCAAGTAAGAGGACAAATGTGATTCCATGAAAATTCAGTGATAAGCAGTATAGAGACCTTGCCTGAAGAACACTTAACTTTGGCTTGGAAGATCTGGGAAAAGTAAAATCTAACTTGACTGAGAATTGACTAAGAAAAGAGAAGATGGAAGAATAGTCCATGCAGAAAGAGCGAGGTGTACGAAGTCCAGAAGTGGACAGGAACAAGCTTCCTCCACCTGTAAAAACAGACGATTACTCAGAGGGTGACAGAGCCAGAGCAGAGGGGCTTGAAGACCCTGTAGAGGAGCCTGTGGTGACCAAACTATCCCAGAGGCTGTGATAGTTTGTCCGCTCTACCCAGCCTCAGCAGAATGAAGACACTGCCCAACTATGCCATCTATTCCCCGGTCCTTTGTACAGGCTGTCCCGTCTCTCAGGAAGGCGTCCGCTGACCCACCTTCTGTTTTCCATCTAGAAAATCCCATATACACTGATATAAAGGGCCTCTCAAAAGTCTCTCTCTTCGTTTACAAGTCATTTCCAGCCCCAGGGCTGAATTAATTTTTCCCCACCTTGTGCACATACTCGTTGTAACAGAGATGTTGGGGGAGAGAGGGTGTCTGCGCAAATTAATATTTGTCTTCTTTTGGAATTGTTCCCCTTGGTGGCAGCCAAACCTCCATATCTGGGCAATGTGACTGTGCCCCTGGGGTAACACAGATTGGCTCAGAACAGGTCATCAGACTCAGATCTGGCCTCTTTCACTTAGAAATAGGGGCTGAGACATGCTGGTGGGGACCTGACAGGTGCTTTATCTGAGAAGACATTTAAATTGGACCTGTGAGCTAGGCAATTTCTCCATTATTTGGAGAAGTACAGAACGCTGAGTGAGAAAAAACACTGCCCTGGTTCTTGAGAACGTCCTGGTGTCTTCTTCTAGTCACTCAAGATCCCTGATGAATGTCCTGATACTGAGTGATGTGAAGTCCTCTGCAACTTTAGAACTAATTCCAACTCATAGCTTGAACTGAATCAGGGTTCAGGTACTGCTGCTCTTTAAGTCTTTTTATGGCTCTAATAATTTTATAGAGAAATTCCTTGTTTCTACACTAAAATCAAGGTTACTTTGACTTTACTTGATATATATGTGCATGGGTGCTGTTGTGTCATCACTCTCCCAGTCAATTTCCGCTACAGGCACACCAAGGGTCACAGCACTCTGTGTGGCCTCAGAGACCGTCACCATGGAGCTCCAAGTGGTCCCAAAGAAATTAACTGGAGTTGGCACAGGAGAGGAGTAACTGGATATCAATGTTCTAGACTCTTGAAAGAAGGTTCTGTGTCCTTTTGTTGATTGTAGTTCTGTGCTTGACACAAGGTCAGTGTGGAACATGGCCTACTTGGAGGATAAACCATGACTATTATGTTTTAGCCTGGTTGCTCATTCTTGCCTTTTTCTTCATCTACTTTACAGCTCAGTAGAAGCCTAGAGAAAGGATTCATTCTTACCCATTTTAGAAATAAGGTGATTAAGAGCATGAACGAGCTGAAGTCAAGTTGTTCATCTCAGATTCCACGTACAGCGCATCTCTGCCGTCCTAACTTCTTCCTTTTTCATCCCAAGGGATGTGGTCACATTTTAAAGTCACATCAATTGGGTACAATGATTACTAAACTCCTGACAGAATCAGAGGATTCTGTTCTTTCCAGCTTCTGACTCAATTACATACATTCATAAAATGTGGTGTACAATCTTAACTAGATATTATTTTATCCATTTACCCAAGGTTTATCACAGATACATACAATCTGGGGAGGGGAAATGGTCTAGCCACAGCAGGATAACCTGTGAGAATGATCTCTCCTGTCAATTTCAGAAGTATAAACTACAGGAACACTTCAACTTCAGAAGCTGTGTCTGCCATTCTTCTCCCCACTTCATGTTTTCATCATATACAGCCCTCCAACAACACAGGCGCCTCCTGGTCCAGTTCTAGCAAAAAGTCTCCGTTTATACCTTGACAGGCCATGATTAGTAAACAAAAAAGAGCAGTTTAAAAATCAGCAACATACCAACTCCATTAACTGTTTGAGCTGACCTATCTCTTCTGGCAGCGATCCAAGTTTGTTGTTACTTGCAATTAAGACTTTGAGAGGCAGACCACACAGGCAGGCCGGTAGGGCAGACAGCTGATTTCGACTGCAAAAACAATACAACAATAACATGCATAAACATACAGGTCACTTCATACTGTTTGCGAACAAGTATTTAACAAGCAAGGAAGAAGGGAGACAGCTGAAAAGATATTTTACAACCACGAAAAGTTCAATAAAGTTTCTGTATGTGTAATGAATCAAATCACAAGGACCTAAGAAAATAAAATGTGTTTTTAAAAAGAAAGGCATGGGGGAAAACAACTTTTCCCAGCACCAGGGAGCCCATCAAGCCCCCTGCAGAAGCTGAGCCCTCGGCCAGCCAGGGGGCAGATGGGCAACGGGTCCTGAACCACCCATAGCAACGGGAAGCTGGGGCCAAGTGTCCTCTTCATGCCAATGTGTGGTTGGAATGCAGCAAGAACCAGAGCAAGCAGCACCATGCAGGCACCGTGCTGTCCATTTTAGTGCTGATGGGGAAATTCACTTTGCTGCAATTTTCAAAAACACCAGGAGAGTTTCCAAAGTAAGCTTCCTTTTGTGAAGACAAGAGTTGCTGAGTTTCTGTTGGGTATCTGTGAGAGTGCTAATTAAATGAAAAAAGTAAAGTTGGCCTCTGGCAAAGTGAAGCTTGGTAGTGGTTTATTTCACAGAGTAGCCAGACCTGCCGCGGCCAGGGCTCCCCTCTGCTCAGCATGGAGAGGTCCTCTGACCAGAAGTCTCTGCTTCCCATCACAAGTGCCTGGTCTTCTGAGAAATGAGAGAACACTGGATAAGGGAAATCTATGAGTCACCCACATGTATCTGTCAGTCATCTACTTCCACATCCTCCCACACAGAAACCCTTTTCTACTATCAAATAAGAAGACATATGGTTTTCCGTTTCCTTGACTTTCTTTCCTGGTCATTCTGTTGATTAAGCCAACAATCAGATCTAAAAATTTGTATGTTCTGTGACTTTAACTATTTATAACTTCTGTGTGTCGGTGCACACACATATAATGTGTCAGAGGTGGTACTGTGGGAGTATATTTATAGGCACACACACATCTGGGTGCAAGGGGGAGACACAGACAGATTGGCCAAAATACACCAAAATGTTATCAGTGGGCATTTTATTTTTGAGGGGGGTCGATACGATGAGTGTTTTTTTTTTTTTTAAATTAAAAAACGACATGCCTTTTTTTTTTTTTAATAGAGGCATGTTTTATTTATTTATTTATTTGTTTGTTTTTTATTTATACAAGCACTGGGTACAGTCAGAAGCGCGGGAGGGTGAGAGAATTCGCCAGAGCCAGAGTGGGGAGCAGAGCAGGGAGAAGGACTGAAGTACACTGCTGAGGGGAGCAGTGGGCGGCAGGAGAGGTCTGCGCGCCATGTGGGACCCTCCTCCAGTGGCCTGGGAGCAGCCGGGGATCTAACCGGCACTGCACAGGCCACGGGCAGCTTCGCAACCCAGCGCTCAACCACTGCGCCACCGGGGAGGCCCGATACGATGAGTGTTTTTTAGTGACTTTATTATAACTTATCTTTCAGAATTCCTATAAAGTGCTTTTGAATTAAGAAAGAACTGTCATTACAAAGAGACATATTTCATTGGATGCTGGTTACATGGGTGCTTCTATTTGTCAGCACTTATCAGATGTGCACTTAGGACCTGTATGCACAGATACACTTTTCTGTATGTAAGCTGAATTGCAATTACAATTTTTATGCCCCTACTCCTTCATATGAGAAGGCTGGAATCTGGCTGGACAAGGGACATCTTTAACTGATGGGCTCAGAAAAAGCAGGCACTGTACTATGGAAAGAACCTTTTTAATGTGGGTGCTTTCCTATAAACACCATGACATTTCTCCTCCTCCAGGAACCAACGTTCAGGTCTTAACAATAAAAGATACAGTAATGTCTTCTTTCCCTTGCCCAGATCCACAAAGAAAGTTAGTTCTAGAAAGAGGCAGAAGGAGAGAAAAGACTTATCAAACAGGGTCCAGCAGAGGGAGGGAGGAGACTGGGATTTCCGCAGGGGTTCCTGGCACTGGAAGGACCAGCTGGCACTTTGCTGTTAGGATGACAGGTGAGAAGAGTGACCAGCTCTGCCTGGCACTGTCTCCTGCCAGCGGAAGCAACCATGGAAGGGAGGAGCAAGGCTACCCACTTGCCTTTTGTTCCTCCCACATCCCTGCTGCCATCTTCTCTAACCCACAGGAGCACACTCATGCTCTTCTGGCTGGAGGAGGGAGCCTTTCCAGTGCCCTCCTGGAAGAGCCTTCCTCAAGCTCAACAAAGGCTCTTTAAACATTACCTCTGGAGAAAAGAACTCAGTTTACTTAAAGGCATCAAGTAAATAATCTGAAATATAATTTGTGGTTATAAAATAGTTATTAAAATGTAATTTCATAACATGAGAACTGGTAAATGTTAACAATTCTGTTATTTTGGTATAATATTTCAACTTCCTTTTGAAAAGAGGATAATGGGAACTGAGATGAGTATTTTCAGAAATTTCTATATTCCTATTTTTCACAGAATTAATAATTATAGTTGGAGATCTTTCCTGTGTTTCTTTGTTGGGAAACTCAGATTTAAATTGTTTCCAATCTCATTACCTTAATACAGGCATCCAATGGGATTAGTAGAGACTGAATCAGAACAGCCGTTCATCATACCATTTAAGTAATGCTACAAAGGTTTTGCTCATTCAGACACATAAGTATTCGAGATTACATGGGCTTACTGTCACTGGAATCCTTCCAAAGTGGGTACTCATTTAAAATAAAATAATAAAGGCCTCCCCTGGTGGCACAGCGGTTGAGTGCTGGGCTGCAAAGCTACCCGCAGCCTCTGCAGCGCTGGTTCCATCCCCAGCTGCTGATGAGGGTCTCACATGGCACGCAGACCTCTCCTGCAGCACCCACAGCTCCCCTCAGCAGCGTACTTCGTCAGTCTCCCTGTTCTGTTCCCCACTTTGGCTCTGGTGAACTCTCTCACCCTCCCGCGCTTCTGACTGAACCCAGTGCTTGTATAAATTAAAAAAAAAAAAAAAGAAAGAATGGCACCTACAAAAAAATAAAATAAAATAATATTTAAGCTTGTGAATGCATGTATGGTTTAAATATTAAACCATACATGGTTTAATACATATTAAATACATACATATTAAATACATTAAATACATATTAAATTATAATAATTTACCATAAATTATTTTCTATTGTGTGGGTTTTATGTTCTATTAAATGAGCCAATACATAAAAATGTGATATATTCCAGGAGAATAGAAAAACAACATGATTCCCATGATTCAATAAATCAAGTCATTTATTCTTACATGTGATTTTATTATGTTTATTATGTTTTTATTCCATATATGTATAAATACATATATGGTTTAAATAATTTAATATGTATTAAATTATTATAATGGGGATAAATGCATTTTATGCTAAAAGCTATTGATAGAACAGCCTGTTTATTTATGCTCCACACATTCCTCTATTTACAATGTAGTCAATCACCTGCAGACAAATCTGAGACTCCAGGACTAGTCATAATACAACATGCCATAAACCTGGGGCACATTTCTCCTACTCCGTCCATTGATTTCCATAGTCTCTACTTCATATATTTTATCACAGGATGTTCCGGTATTACTTATAATTTCCCCAATAGAAAAGGGAAACACATATGCACACAAAAGCCTATTAGCTCTCCAGCATATATTTAGAAAGAGGAGAAACTGCATTCCCTTTAATCCTCTACCCACTAAAGACCACATCAGCAGCCTTAGCTTTTAAAACCACTCATTTGACAGCAATTTTTCCCAAGCAAGTAAGTGCCCCAGGCCACAAGCCACTATCCCATCTCCTGCTTGTCTCCTGCAGGACTCTGTACTATAAACGGACCCTTTACAGAAAGAAAGTTTAAAAATAAGGCTATAAGGCAATGACCAATCTAGCCTGTGAGTCACATCTAAAAACAAAAGTAATTTTTTTACATTTAAAGGTCACTTATTACAAAAGACTAACTTGGGAGGAGGGGAGAAAAAGAGCTGTTCGCTCATAAGTAAAATTACAGATTTGGTCATGTTGGCCTGAGCCTTCCTGCTATTACCATCGCTGACCCTAGTCTAGGCTTCTGGTCCCTCTCCCTACCTTCCCTGGGTAGAGGTGGGGTACAGAATGGAAGGAGGAGGAGAGGGAAGCCTTTTACCTTATGCTCAGTGCCGACACCTTTCTCAGTTAAATGACCCCCTACTACATTTGTCTATTTCTTCACTTTAAGATAAAACAAAACGTCGCCACAAAAACTGCACATTTTGATAGCCTAAGTTTGCAAGATAGATTTCTCTTAATCTTCAGTGCCCATATTTCTCACTTAACATAATTCTTAAATTAAGGAATTAATAAATCAAGTCATTTATTCTTACATGTGATTTTATTATTGGGAATCATGTTGTTTTTCTATTCTCCTGGAATATATCACATTTTTATGTATTGGCTCATTTAATAGAACATAAAACCCACACAATAGAAAATAATTTATGGTAAGACTTCTATAACAGATTCACCTAACCCACCTGGTAAAAAGATCACCAGTTGTGGAATTAGAACACATGGGTTCAAATCTCATCTCTGCCTCAAATCACCTCTATATGTAAGTCATTGTTAATTATTATTATTATCATTTAAAGATTTATTTATTAATGCATACAAGAGCTGGGATCCAGGCCAGAGATGCAGGGGGTGAGAGGATTCACCAGAAACAGAGTGGGGTGCAGAATAGGCAGACTGACTGAAATACACTGCTGAGGGGAGCAGCGGGCGAGTGAGAAGTCTGCTGTGCCATGTGGATTGCTCTCTGGCCAGCCCGGGGATCGAACTCGTGCCGCAGAGGCTGTGGATTGCTTCATCGTGCGGTGCTTAACCTCTTGCGCCACCAGGGAGGCCCTTATTATTATTATTATTATTATTATTATTATTGTCATTATTATTTAAGTCATTTATTCTCTCTGGTTTTGATGTGAATAAAATTCCCACCTAACAT